AAACTACTAATTCATGTAGTAAGTCGGTTTACTGATTTAAAATAGTAAAAAATACGACTTACTAATGAATTAGTAGTTTTCTACTAGCAATTAGTGGAAATTTACTAAAAGTAGCCAAAACTATTACTAATTTAGTTATAGTCATGAACTTGATTTTTTTGGCATATCTTTGGATAAATTTATATCTGATCTGCGTACTTTAACTTTTAAAATGAATTAGTAGCCGCCATCAAATACTTAAAACTTTCTGTTTATTCTTTTGATTATTACTATTATTGTTAATTTATAAATAAGTGCTAATGCACAAAAGGACATTTTTAAATTGTTGACCTGTTCATGATTAAATAAATAGTAAGAAAATCTGCACTCTTTCATTAGTAAAAAAAACTATTATTTCAGATTTAGAGAGTAATGTATTAATTATAAACAATGTTAAATTTAATGAATGAATGTTAAATTGAGTATAAATATTATAATTTCCTTCTTCTAATTTTATTGAACATAAATTTTCCGTCTCACTAACTTTCACAAATTCAATGTAAAATAAACAATAACCGGGAAATGTTGTTGACTTTTTTTCTAATCCCTATCAGCATATGTAATCAATTGAGATTATTGGTGGAGGAACAAAGACAGCAGTTTGCGGCATGTAAAGACCCTTTAATCAGCCGTAAATGCTAGTGTAATTACAGTGAATCGCAAATCAGTTGCCGCTGCATCTCTAGAATGTCATTTATGGATGTGTGGTATGGGGTCGGTGAGAGAAGTTCTAGTGTGCTTCTTCCTCCGCCGATGACGTAAGCCAATAAGACCGCGTCACGTTTGCCGGCAGTTCACCAGCCGCGTTGGTCAATGCACGATCATGCTGCCTTTATCGAATCTCCGCTCGAGAGACACGATATTAACACAAACACACACGAGACAATTGTACAATTCACGAAAGAAAACTTTTTAAAAAAAACTTCTCCGAATTACTTTTTTCAGAATAACTTTTAATAAAGAGTTAATAATTTTAGTTTTGTTTATAAAATTATTTATTAAATTTACTCTTTCTGTTGACATTTGTGAGTTATAAACAAGGTCACGTGACAGTAAATAATGCTCCCACTGCAGTTTCAAATGGCAAACTATTTGTTTTATACAATTTATATGTATATACGAAATTGCAAAACCAAGAGAACCGTATCGACAAATGTCAAGGAAATTGATTTGCTATTAGTACAAAAGGTTTTTTTTGCCTCTATGTTTTTGAATACCTAATACTTTATAACTTTTAAAATACCTCGAAATACCTAAAAAAAATACCTTTCTTTAAGTAACAATATAGAGACAGGAACTTTATGCTTTTCAATGTTTTTATGCTTTTATTGTGCTTTGCATTTAGAACATTTGTTCTTTTTTCCCACTGTTGCTAGACATAAACCTTATGCATTTTTAAAAAGAGGTTTCATAAGAATGCTCTTGTCTATCTTATCAATGTAAATTTACTCAAACTTTCTATAATTTAAATCAATTGTTCGTTAATCATTAGGAATTCTTTAGTGCAACACTTTTATAGATCTTTATTGAAATGGTATGTTTTATAACAAACTTTTCAAACCAAATTGAAGTCCACAACGTTGATCAACGAAAAAATTTTTAATAACAATATTACTCAATGATACCGCAATATTTATAAGAACAAATATACAAAAAAGGAAGATTTTTATTTATGTTCAACAATAATTGTTATATAGTTATTAAAAATAATGTTTGAACACTTTATACAAAATTTTTTCGTTGTTCATAACGTTGTGGACTTCAACGTTCTGGTTCATAATTTTGAATTGATATTGTTTATAACGAATTCTTGAAATGGTATAATTTTTGTCTTCGCTAATGCTTATAGAATTGACAATTTTTTATAAATAAAATATTTAAAGATATAAATTGAAATTCTACCTCGAGTTATCAAATATGCTTCAATTATGCTCAATAATTATAAAATTATGTTTTAATTTATATTATATATGCTCAGACACATTATGCTGCTTTGCAACAAAAATTATTTATAGAGTTTAATATTTCATGCTTCCGCAAAATGCAATTGCTGGTGTTAAAAAAATACTTTTTAAACTATACAACTTTTTTTTAAATTTATGCTTTTGTGCTCAATCACTAAAGTTTCTATCTTCAAATATCAAATTAGATAAATTAGATGTCTAATAATAATTAAGGTAAATGTTATTGCTTAACAGCATTCATGTTAATTTTTCAATCATTTTTCTCTTAAAATGTAAAATAAATGAACTAATTTGTATGAATGACTCTAAAATACAAAGGGGAAGGGCAGTGAGGTGCAAAGGTTTAGTTATTTAAAAAATTAATTAGTATAAAACAATTTAGTTAGTTAATCTTTAATGTCTGAGATTTTTTATAAAACAAGGTACATAAAAAAAATATTCGGATATTCTTTTATTCTTTTATAGGTTCCTGAACATCGTTATTGCTCAGCATTAAAAAATATTTTTTCTTATTTTTAGTGATAAAATTTTAACTAATTTCACTTCTTTCATTCACCTAGGAAGTAAAAAACTTTTTAATTAAGAGTACCTTTTTGACCTTAAACCTTGGGAAAAATTAATTGTTTTTTTCGGTTTCGTAAGAAAAAAATATTTCGATGCTGAGCATTGAAGGCTACTTAAGGGACCTTCTTTTATTTAATTTCTATAAAATTCATATTGAACATTCTTTCTTATTAATTTTATTATCCACTTAGTTTCTTGCTAACTATTAATTTTATCGAATCCTAACTTCAAATATTTCATTCTTTTTTGGATTTTTCCAAATTTTTGCCTATTTTACTTTATTAATTTTTAACTTTCATTACAATTTTTCTGACTCCAGACTCTACTCTAGTGTTGGACTAATTTGATAGTAAATTTTGACTAATAGGACGGATTCGTTTACTATAAATTAATCAAAGTTAACTAGAATTGGTAATATAGAGGCTATTAAATAAATTAGTAACTTAACCTATTGAATGAATTAGTGAGTTTCTAACTAAATATATATGACAATAATAGAATTGTTATTAAAAAATTAAAAAGTTATTTGAAAAGTAATAATACACGTTATAAAATACTAAAATTCTTTTCAACATAAAATCAACAATTTATTTATCAAATAAAAATATAAAATCTTAGAATTTAAAGTTATGTTATCTTTAAGAAAAATAATTTAACTAATTCAATTAATAATACATAAATAATGTTGTTGATTGAGTCAGTAGAATAGGGCTACTATTTGGTTTAGAAATTAGAATGTGACTAATTTTTTAGTAGATAATAATAAAATGAGTAGTAATTACTCAAAATAGTTTACATGCGCAGATATCTTTTAAACCTTTAAAGATAATCAAGTTTGGTTCTTCGCATTCAATTCAGGTAAAGGAGACGCTAAAAATTAGTTATTAACGCATATGCCTGTTTTGTTAATTAACAAAGTTATTTAAATAAATAATAATATTTCGTTAATTGTTGATGGTTTGACCTCTAATTTGCAAAACATTGGAGGTCTAACAGCCAGATGCTGTTAATCTGCTGTATTTTTAAGAAACTAGTCTTAAATTTTCATTGAATAAAATAGAACTTTAATACTTCTATAGTTTTTCCTATTCTTTCTGATATAGAATCATACAAGTTAAATTTTTATACCGAAAGGAATTATTTTTTCTACTGACATAATTCAGGCTAATACTCTGCATTAGAATGTTCCATACGAATGTCACGATTGCGCATCATGGCAATACAATCAAAACATAAGTTTCGCAAAATTATATTTTAATGACATTGTAAATAAATAATTAAAGTTTATTACCGCAAAATTTAAATTGTTTTTCTTTTCGTAATGCACTAAAATAAATAGTGAAAAAATTAATAATACTTCTATCTGAAAATTGCTATCCTCTTTATAAATTATAATCAAGTGTCAAAATTTGATTTCCAATCATATCTCAACTGAAATAGTATGCAGTAACTAATACAGTATTAATTAATAATTATTAATATTATATATTACTATATAATATATAATATATTGTAATATATAATATATAGTAAAATATAATATATATGTATATAATATTTAGTAATGCTGTAACTGCAATTATAAATTCTATTCACATTCTACAAATCTGATTCTGTACCGAAAATTACTTGTCTGACTAAGATTCAAAATTATTCAACAAATGAAACGTGCAACTGTCATTAAAATTGAAATAACCCGGAAATATTCTATCTATTTCTTATGCAATGATTGATTGTTGTCATCACGAATATTGAAAATTAAATTTCACAATAAGCAACAAGACTCTCGATAAAATAAATGTCCTTCAATTTTTTAAATTAATCTCGTCACATTGCAGTTCGTTATTGGATTTCCTTATCGTCTTTGTTTAAAACAAGCATATTTTATATCGTCCCTGTCCATTCATATCTTTACGATCCATAATTTATTTCTGATTTCGCTTTTTTTACACAGTGGACACTCTAAATCAGAATACGAGATGATTTTTGTAACCTTCCTGAAGGACACAATTTCCCAGGATTTACGACACAATCACATTTTCTTCTATTTTTTATAATATTTAGATCAAATCCAACAAGATTCTAACGAAACTTTTCTTTCATGCAACATAAAGTCCGTTAAATAATAATTCTTCCACATTGTCCTATTTTATTAGATTTATTATTTATTTCTATTAAATAGTAACGAATTTTACAACTTTAACAAAAGTTAATGAAAAAGAAAATATTCACTAATAGTGAATAATTAAAATAAAAACTTTTTCTGATGTATCTACATTCGTGGAATTGGTTCTTTGCGTGTTAAAATTTCAATATTTACAACGTCAATAAACTTTTCAAACTCTTTGGGAGAGAAAGAAAAAGCCCTCAAGTCACATGCATGTTTTAAATTTAAAACAAGAAAAAAATCATCAAGAACGAGAATAAACTTACCCCAAAAAGGAATGGGAAAAAAAATATCTCGAGATCCCCCGGTGAGAAGGAAGTGTATGTGTGTGTAGCACCAGCTGATTCTTAAAAGACCGCCTAAAGTTGCACTCACGATCACGACACACGAGTTTGGGAAAAAAAAACAATATATAAATATCAAAGCGCACACTCAAGTCACGTTCAGAAGAATGGTTACGTTTATTTATGTGGCGAACTAGATTTCCTGTTTGTATAAACTAGGTCGATTTAATTCGCATGAATCCGCGTGTACTGATAGGGAACAAACACCACGCGGTTTTACCGGCTTTAAATTTGAGGCCAATGCTTAGGAAGAGCAATGAGTCTAAGAGAGAAACGTGTTCGAACGCCACGAGCGGTCGCACGAGACTACAGTTTCGGACTTTGTGAACACACAGTGGGTGCTATACATGCATACCGCGTTGATGCGCGATAAACGTGTTTCAAAACATTTGCGCATCTTCCTTCGTCGCATGTGTCAGATCTGGTGTTTATTTTCTTTCCCGGCATTTCCCGGTGGCACTCAACGCGTGCAGCGATTTAGATCTCGCGATATTTCTCATTAGTTCAATCATATCTTATTTTTTCATGTAGAAAAAGAACGACGACGAAGGTGGTTAAAATTAACTAATTTAATTTTAAGAAGTGCATTTCTCTAAGTCGTGTGCACGTGCTTAATATCTGAATGGGTTCTTAGAATTTTACACGAGTGCCGGAGTGTATCAGGTTTTTGAGATATTCTAATTTCTAACCTAAAAACACAAAGTTTGTGATCACATCGAAAAGAAAAGTTTTCAATTCGTTTTTTGATGTGCAGGGACTAAAGTGTATATAATTATATCTAATACACTAACTTTTTTGTTTTCTTCACTATTTATTATTTTTACTAAATGGATTATTAATTAGTTTTTAATTCTGTATGGCTCCAATGTATGGGTGTAATATTTTTATTTTCTGACAGTTTTTTTAGTTTTTCTTTGTAAATATTGTTGAATAAAATGATGAAAATAAATGTAATATACACTGCCGTCGAGAATTACCGTTACCAATCTTTAAATCACGATTTTTTTGTAAATACATGTCAGAAAATTAACAAATATACCATTCTAAAGATTATTAAATTCTACGATTAAGGGCATTTGAACCTTGATGACGTCACACATGCTTTGCACAATCTGTAACGTCATCAAGGTTCAAATGCCCTTAACGATAATACATAACTGAAAATTTTAATAATTTATACAAAGATTGCAGCAATCGTCAAATTTGACAAAAAAATTTAAAAAATAAAATTTTTTTGGATATAAGACTTGCTATATTTAAAAGTCATTATAAAAGATGCTTATTGCCCTTTAAACTTGTTGACATAATTCAAAGGAAACAATATGTGGGGGAAAATTTAAAAAAATTAGAATTTAATCAAATTTTTTTTTGAAAATTGATTGATTAAATTTCAAAATTTAGTCCACCATATTGGATCTACTATTATGAATTTTGAAAAACGATCATCGGATTCATAATCAGCGACCCCAAAAACCCCCGAGTAACAATTTTCAAGCAAATTTTGTTAAATTAAAAATTTTTAGTCTGACATATTGTATCCGCCATTTTGAATTTTAAAGAACTGACATCGGATTTGTAAACAGCGACCCTAAAAAGCCCTTAATAACAATTTTCAAGCAAATTTGATTGAAATATAATTTTTTTAAAAATTGAACCGCCATATTGTGTTTGCCATTTTGTTTCCTGTGAATTATCGCAACAAGTTTAAAAGACAATTAGAAAAAATTTCATTCAGTCATTTCTCAGAAAATTGAAGTATGGTTCACTAAAAACGCTGGTTCAATGATGCCTACTTTTCCCCTACTAGAAACGCAGAATTTCAAAATTCAAAATGGCGGATTCAATATGGCGACCGAATTTTTTAAAAACTCAACGAATTCACTTGAAAATTGTCACTCGGGTGTTTTTGGGGTCTTCAATTTTTTTAAATTTCAAATCAAAATTATTGTTACAACGATACTTTTGTTTTAAAATTTCCTGAATTTTACTATATCCAAAGTAAATTGCAGTAAAACTTAGTAAAATATACTTCGGATTTTCTACAATGTACCCCGAAATTATCAAAATTTGCTGCTAAACATTTTTTCGAGAAGAACTTTTACCATTTCTAAAGAACATTTTTTGTTATAAAAATTAGAATAATTTATACTTCAGAAGTAAGAAAATTATTTACGGAAATAAAAATTTTTAAAAAATATACACTACCGGTCAAAATTGAGAGACCACCCATTTTCAGGTGATTGAAAAACATTTTAAAACATAAAATGTATGGAAACTAAAATTTTTTTCTTTTTATTTTTTGAAAGATGATAAAATTTTGAAAAGAACAAGATATTTCTGAAGTCGTGTGGCCAATAATTTATTTAGATATTTTTAAAAAATCATCATTTTCAATGTTTTACAAAAATTTAAATAACTTTTAAAATAATGAACGCTTTTTAATGATCTTGGGCTTATTTTAAAGATTATTTGCTACACTATAAGAATTACTTATAGGCATTCACGTGTATTTTTTTTTCTTAGAAAATGCAGGCCGTCAAACTTGGACCAAAAATATTCAAAAAATTTGGAACAATTTTTCTGTACTAAAAACTATTCTAGAAAATATATAAAACATCATATAGAGTAGATTTTTCAAGAAAATTTAATAAAAAAATACGTTTGAATTTTAAAAATTATTTTTCTGTTATTAAGAATGTTCCAAATTTTTTGAATTTTTTTGGTCTAACTTTGACTGTCTGCATTTTTTAAGAAAAAAATTACACGTTAAAGCCTATAAGTAATTCTTATAGTGTAGCAAATAACCTTTAAAACAGAGAGAAACTGAGAGTACGCACGTAATGCAAATCGCTCTTTCCTTTGAAAGTCTGCCCCCTCGCGGCCAAAAGTCCCAAGCTTAGGTGGTTGGCTATATATATTGCCTAAATCGGTGAGCTTGCACACATATGTAAAACGCAATGGCTAAGCCGAATTTTAATCGGAAGCACTCGTGATCGCTCGTAAAATGCAAGAAACGCGAGGAATAGAACTGAACTAATCTGATAATAGGCCGAGAAATGATTTTGAGTCCCCAAAGTAAATCGCAATGCAGGACAGCGAAATGTCTGCTTCCTTCTCTTATTCATTCTTACTATATTGTGATTTAAAAATTATTACACATTAATTACTATAAGTGATAAATTTAATAAATGAAATAACAATAAAAATTAATTTTTAAGAAATTTAATTTATAAATTGAAATTATTTCAACTAAAAATAAAAGGTAAATTAAATTTAATAAAATTAATTACATTTTTTTTAAATTAATAATTAGTATAAACGTACCTAATAATTTTAAATAAAATTTAATTTTATTAAATTTGTATAGTTCATGTTGAATTAATTTCTAGGTATACGTAAAATTATTCAGGGAAGAAAATATCATTTTGGATGCCAATTTAATTATTAACTCTACGCCGTTAAACACTAAATAATTCTACACAAATAAATATCTATAGTTTTCAGAAAATCTATGACATTAAATTCTTTACACTATTACATTTTTTCAATTTGAATTTCTCTTCAAATTAATTTTAGAAAATTAATCTCTACACACGAAAGTTTTACAAAAAAAAATTCTACACAATATAATTGAATATACTTAATTTAACTTAATTCTTAATTTTTTATATATATTTACTTTACTAAATTTATGGGGTAGAATTAATTTCTTAATATTTTAATTTATTTTTTTTTTAATTTAATATTATTTATTTAAGAATGTTTGTGTAATTTGTAATTTTTTTTGTAATTTTTTATGTAATTTGTGTAATTTTTTTAAAATTTTAATTGTAATTTGTTTTTTGTAATTTTGTAATTTAATGTTAATAATTAAATTAAAGCATCCAAACTTATATTTCTTCTAATTTAGAATTTTACGGTGTGGAATATTGCGAAAAATTAAGCATATTTAATTAAATTAAATGTTTTCTAATAAGAATAAGTGTACTCTAGCTATTTTTGAATTAGTGACAATGTTTACTAATTTGAATCAGTGACTGACTTTTCGCTTTTTAATTTGTAAATTTTACTTTTTTAAATCAGGGTGGTTTCATAAGTACACGGAGAGAGAATATATATTAAATTTTGTAAAAATATTTTCAAATTGGGGAAAAAGTGCGACAAAGCGAAATTTTCATATAAAAAATACTAAACTTTAAAAAAAGTTTTGTGAAATTTATTAAAGTTATATTAGAATTTAATTAATATTCTTGATATTTGATATAATTATACTAAATTTCACATAAGTTTTTTTAAAGTTTAGTATTTTTTATATGAAAATTTCGCTTTGTCGCACTTTTTCCCCAATTTGAAAATATTTTTACAAAATTTAATATATATTCTCTCTCCGTGTATCAATTTTTCTGACAATTTACTGACTTTAAAATTGCTTTTCCTGACAAAATTCTTTTTACAGGAAAATATGAATGTTTACGGAAAAATGAGTAAAATTTATGAATTTTAATAATTTTTAAAAATTACAATTATAACTCATCCTGAATTCAATTATTTTCTACAATTTTCAACTAAACTTAATTTCTGAATCAATTAATTTAAATAATTTTTCAAAAGTTCTTCTAGAATTTAATTATTTAAATACAAAAATCTTGATTTTTTATAATAATAAATTGTAGCTCTCCATAGTTTTTTCTTATGTTATTAATGTATTATTTTCAAAAAATTACAGAGAAATTCTTACAATTAATTTTGTAAAAATATATTAAAATAATTTTTTTACATTGTTTGAAGTTTTTTGATAATTCAATTATTTTGAAAATTTGCAATTAAAATTCTTTAAAAGTTGATTTTCAAAAATTGTAACAAAATACTTTAAAAAAATTAATTATTTTCAATAAAATTGTACAAAATTTCAATTATTATTTAAAAAGATTTTTCTTATAGATATATTTAAAAAATTTTAATTATCTTAAAAAATGATTCAAAAACAATTTTTGAAAGATTTGTTTATAGTTATTTTGCGCATTATAAAAATCAAAATAAATTGTACTTTTTTTTACTAAAAATTCTGATATTTTGTTGCAATGTTTGGAAGAAAAGTCGAAAAAGTTGCAATTTTTGGTAAGTTTAGAAAAGTCTCAATTTTTTTTGACAAAAAATTTTTTCCTGACATTTCCCTGACTTTACTGACATGTGGCCACCCTGTAAATCTAAAATCTTTGAAATAATTGTTTCATTTTTTCGGTTTTGTAAAAAAAATATTTTTCGATGCTCAACATAGACACTAACTTTAGACACTTTAGTAAT